GAATGTTTGAAAATATTCAAGGGTAAAATAGTCATTTTCTGGACATGGAAGGAATTTTCAAAAATGTCCAATGGCAAAATTGTCATTTTTGGGACATGGAAGGAATTTTTAAAAATGTCCAAGGGTAAAATAGTCATTTAGGGACATACATGGAATTTTAAGAAAAGATTAAGGGTAAAATAGTAATTTAATGATTTTGGAAATGATTTCCGAAATGATTTTAGAAATAACTTCAGTAAATATATATATATATATATATATATATATATATATATATATATATATAGAGAGAGAGAGAGAGAGAGAGAATGAAAGTAGCAGTTCTAAAGAATCGAGCAGTGTGTTGTGATGTATGTGGGTCAGACTGAGCCTGAGGGCTGATGCCCAAAATCAGTCATGAGACGTTATATATTGGCTAGATTGAGTTGGAGGGTTGGTGCCCAGAATCAGTCAAATACTATTATTTATTTAACCAAATGAGATGTGAGGACAGGTGGTCCAGAATTCATCATATATGAATGATTGTTGTTGTGTTTGAATGGTACCCGGGGTGGTATAGAGTACATTAGTGTAATAACTATGTCGGAGGATTCTGAATGAGGTCCCAGACTTCACTGATTGGTCGGGTTAGGTAGACTACGAGATCAGGTGGTGAGAAGTCGATGGGGATGACTGGTGGCGCGCTCGGAGGGGTACTCCAGTATGAGTGATGAAGGGCGCCAGTAATCCTACTCTGTGTGGAGGGTGGTCAGAGTGGTACTGCGGGTGCCGATCACAATGTGCCCACAGATGATAGCCTCTAAGTTTAGGCATAGTTAGGGTATACTTCCGGAAGGTGTCTTAGTGTGTTGATGATTTCGTAATTGATCATAATATCTAATTATTACTTCTATATTTGTTTTATTATATCGAATGATTTAATACTTACCCCTATTTCCATGTGGATGAGACTGCGATGATCACTTTTATATGGGAGCAGATAAGGAGTTGGGAGATGGAGATGTGACTACTGGACAACAAGGATAGTTCAGTGAGATAGCTTCGAGGGAACTACTTTTACATGTATAATATATAAATAAATTATATTACTATATTTTGAGGTTCCGTTAGTGAACCAGAATTTCAATCTATGTTACAATTACACTAATATAATGTAAGATAGATGTCGTTATTTACTTGTTTACTATTTTGCGAAGACATCATTATAGTAGCGATTTCTAGGGTCATTTACACACTTCATCTTATTTTTTAATTAAAAATAAAAATATTTAAATAATCAATAAATAATAGAATTAATATATTATATTTAAAAATATTATATGATAAATTTAAAATACTACAAATAATATTATTATGTTATAATTATTAATAAAAATTATATTTTTATTTTAAAGTAATTTTTTAATAAATATTGTTTAAAAATTATCTAATTTAACTAATTATCATAAATAAATATAATTATAATTAGATTAAATTATTAAATAAAAATATATTTAATTTTTTAAATTTTAATATAATAATTTAATAAGAAGAATAAATAAGAAATGATAAAAAAAGGAATAAACGAAAAATATAAATTATAAAAAAGAATTATATATAAATAATAAATCGAACTGCCTTTGCTTAAATACATAAATTAATAAAAATTATATTTAATTTTTAAAAAATATATTATTTATAAGATTTATTTATCAATGTATTACGCTATATAAAATCTACTCAACTTTGTTCATTTCCGAGGTTTTATCGTCACAATCTTACTTACAACTCATCCGCACCCTTCGTTTAAACTCCATGTACGCGGGAAAATATCCCTCGAAAACCACTGACAGAAAACAATACATATAATTAAATGTTGCACCTCGTTCCTTTTCAAGACATCGATATTTGTTATTTAAAAAAAATAGAATTTAATGTGTTATATTCTATTTTAACAATTTATAATTGATTTTGTTTTAATATTTTTTTATTAATTTTCTATTTTCTTCTATTTTCATTTATTTATTTATTTTTATATACAAAATATTAATACAAAAAATGTCCTGTATATTTTCTTCTATTTTCTCCTAAATGTTGCACCTCGTTCCTTTTCAAGACGTCGACTTTATCTTATATCTTTTAGTTCTAATTTATTGTTTTAATTGAAACAAATTCTATTTATAAAAAATAGAAAAAATGATAATAACATTCAAAAATAGTTTTTAAATAATAATATTAAATAGGATTTTTAAAATTTAAATTTAATTATATTTGAGTCTGAAAAATTAAATTAAAACGGAATATCTTATAAAAAAAATAATATACTTTTAAGTTTTTTATTTATATTTAATTTTTGAGTAAAAAAATATTAATTTATCTAGTTTAATTATTTAATGTATAACTATTAAGTTTATAAGATAAAAAATGTTAGATATTAATACATATATAAATATTAATCATTACTTTTTAAATGTCTATGAACCCTCTTTATAGTTGATGTACTATGTTATATTTAAATGTTGAACACTTTTATCTTATTTAATTTAATATTATAAGATTTGAGGAATAAATGTATATGATTTTTTTTATATTTAAAGGTTAAATTTTAATGTTATCAACATTTCTATTATAATAATAAACATAATATTTTTCTTTTCATATATAAAAATATAGACCTATTTTTATTATTATTTCTCCTAAAATTACAAAGAAGTGTCTTTAGGAGACATTTATAATGTTCTGTAGTTTATGTTATTAGAATTTGTTTCTTAAAAATTTAAAAATTACTTGTATTTTCTATAATTTTACAAAAAAGTACAATTTTAATTTAATTGTTGATAGAAAATGGTAGTGTATCCATTATTTGTCATAATAACATATGTTGAAGTTATTTTCAAATCTTATTATTAATATCTTAAAGTAAATGAAAACTTAACAGTTATTGCTTAAAGTGTTATTTAAATAAAAAATAGTCTGATAACAAAATTTAATGTAAGGATATTTGTGTTATCATTAATTAAAAATTTCCCTTAACCATATTTATTTGTGTTAGAAAATTATTTCGTATTTTTTAAATATAATTGAGGAAGTAACTCATATTATAAAATATTTTATTTTGTATCATCGTTCTTTTTAAGTTATGTCCTTCAAAAATAATATATTTTTAATATTAATATATTGGTAAAATGTTATTGATTTTTTTATATCTTATATTTGATTTAACTCGCTAAAATTAACAACTTATTATACATAGCAATCAATAATAAAGTATTAGTAATCCTCATCAAATTACCGATATCAGTTTATTTAAGTGAACGTTAACTTCAAACTAATAACAATTACAAAAATATAAACTTATACTCTTTTTATTTTTGTTAGCGGCAATATTTATTTTCTATTTAGTTGTCATTTTAGAAGTTCAAATTAATATTATTATTTTTTATTGTTAATGTTCTTATTTTCATCGGATTTTTAAGTTAATGCGCATATGTTTATTTATTGTGAAGTAAAAATGAAATGAGTAAAATAAAAAATCTTATAATATAAAGTTATTATATTTGTTCTCTTAAATAATCTTAAAATATTTAAAATGAGTAAGAGATATATAAGTTAAAATTTAGTAAAAGTACAAATTATTTTGTGAATTTCATATTTATTAAATATTTTTAAAATATCATATATATATATATATACTAAAATTTATATTATATATATATATATATTTGTTATTTTAAAAATCTTTTACTAGTCTCATAACGTTGTCATAAAAAGTTATTTACTAAAATAGAATTTATAAATATAATTAAAAATATGGTTTAGTTATCTATACTTATATAATTTATTTTATCTCTTTGTAATTGTTTTATATTATTAGAAAAAGAAAAAAATACCATATTAAAAAATAAAGAATATAAAATAATGAAGAAAGAAAATAAAATGAATAATTTAAAAAACTATTTATAAATTTCAAGAAAGAGAAAAAATATAAAAAAAGAGAAAATGTAATATATATATATAAATAGAGATAAAAATTATAAAAATAATAATTATTTTAAACAATTATTAAAATAATAATTATTTTGAAAAATTAATAATAGAAAAAAATAGAAAAAACACTAAACATATGTATTTTATAATAAATAAATAAATAAATAATTTAAATAATAGGAAGAATATCTTTTCAATTAACTGAAATTATATTTATTTAATATCTTTTTAGATTTATGATGATAATAATTATAATATTATTAATAATTAAAATATTATTAATAATAATATTATGTTATTCTTATAATAATAATAATAAAAATAATTTATCATTATTTTTTATGATAATTTATTATTATAATATAATATTATTATATTATTATAATTAATATTATAATAAAATTGAGATGGTACGATGAAGTATTTCAGTTAAATTAATTCGTGTTTATTATAATATTATTTTAATAATAATAAAAATTTGAAGTGATATTTGTAATTATCTTAGCTTAATTATTTTTAAAAAATTAAATAAAAATAATAATTACATATAAAATTTTATTAAATAAAATTATTTTATCTAAGAAGGAGAATATTTTAATTATTTTGATAACATTGTTTCATCTAGTATTATTTTATTAAATAAAATTGTTTTATCTAAAAATAAGAGTGTATTAATTCATTTTGATAACATCAGTGTAATTGAAGTATTATTTGTTTGTAAATTCTTATTTATCATATATATTTGTTATTAAAAGACGTTTGAAATGAATTAAGTAAAAAAATATATATATACAAATATACAAAGTACCTTACAGTGCTGACCAATATAAGCTGATGCACTTGTAAATTAGAGGAAGTGATTAAAAAAGAAAGAAAAAGAAAAAAAGAAAAGAAAAGCATAGTTTGTGTGTGAGAGAGAAGATTGTGGTAGCTAGTGCCCTTATAAAATGTCCTTTACAGACAGATAACGATGCCTTCACTTATCTTAGGAAACTAACCCTTTCTTCCCTTCTTTCTTTCTCTTCTCTCCCACAATGCCACCCGCCAAGCGGAAGCCCGCCCAATCGCCGCCGGTCAAGCTCGCTGCAGCGGTGGCGCCGATGAGGGTCACTCGGGCCGCGGCCAAGCGTTCCGCCTCCGCCAGCTCCGAACCTCCGCCGGCAGAGAAGAAGGTCAAGAAGGCCAAGGGTAGTAGTGGTGTTAAGCATAAGAAGAAGGAGAAAGAAACTGCTTCGGTTAAAGCAGAAGAAAAGGAGGAAAGAGAAGAAGAAGAAGATGAAGAAGGTGCTTCCAGCAAGATTATCGTCGTTGAACACTGGTTAGTCCCTTTCTCCCTCTTTTCTCTTTCGAAGAAGGATAGAACAATTTAATTTTTGTTTTGTGATGAATAATTTTTTCTTGGCTGTGTGTGCTTTTATTTACTTTTAAATATTTGAAATAACTTAATCAAAGTTTTATTTGTTAAAAAAAAAAAACTTTATCAGTAGTTTTTTGGGGTTAAATGAAAACAAAAAGCTGCCCAGAGTTTATTTTTTATTTTATTTTTTCCATTAGTTGAAGTTTTGGATTTATAACTTTGTTCAATGTTTGCAGAAAACATTTTGTTGTTACAGTAGTTTTATTGGGTCTGAGAATGTTGTATTTTTACATCGATTTCATTTCATGTTCTTATTGTTGAACACATGTTAGTTGTCAATGAGTATTTGCTTTTTGTTGGTGTTGGCACTTGGTTCATTTGCTGAGGTTAAAGGTCTTGCCTTTTGTGTGTTGATGATGTTGTTATTGACACTTTCTATATTATGTGTTGTTTGTGGTTATCTGTTTTCCTTAGTAAGCAATGTAACCAATTCAAGACGAGAGCCAATCTGGTGAAAGAACGTATAGAGAAAGCGGATTGTGGAGTCAGTGTGATACTGAACCCTGAAAAGGTATATACTATAATATTGTTGGTTATGTTATTGTTTCTCCTAGTTTTGGAAGTCTCTCGGGTCATTGATCTATTGTCTTTTTTAAATTTCGGTTCAAAATGTGTTGTTTTGTTCTATATAACACTTTATTTTTAAGTAATCGCGGTTGCGCCTTGTTGTGATAGTTGATATTGTGAAAGATTGTAGACAACTGCAGCTGCAACTGAGATGAAAACCCCAATAACTGTGATGTTGTGAATGAACTGTTCTGTGTACATACTATATACTATTCAGGGTCTTTGTAATATTGAGTTAGAGAATGCACTATAGTTTTGTACACATATGGTTTTGAACATTTAGAATGATTGTTGAGTTTAGTATGATATTTGATTTGAGTAATCTTCCTTGTCTAAGTTTTGTTGTTATAGACTATTTGATCTAATTATGACTTCAATCTGTTTTTATTGAATGAAAAGCCAAGAAGAGGTTGCTTTGAAATACGGCAAGAAGGGGGAAAGAAGTTCATCAGTCTCTTGGTAAGGAGCTATGGTTGGAAATCAGTGTGCTAAATTGTTATTAGGATATAAAGCTATTTATTTGAAGATGTATTTCTTCTGGTGAAAATGATTTTGAAAAGGAAAATAAAGCTCCAATTATTTTGTCATTCGAAGCAATGCACAGTGGTTCACAAAGTATATTTTGTTTCAGGACATGAAGCGACCATTTAAACCAATGAGGGATCTCGACATGGACAAGGTCATTTCGGATATCATCGATGAGATCTCAACGTCTTAGGTTACCTTAATTGTTTCGAATGTTCTATGTTTTTGGTTTGACTTGAAGTGAAGCTAGAAAAATTGTTCTAATGGTAGAAATCCATTTTGAAAACCTGTTCATAATTTGTTAACCAGTTGTATGTGGTTGTTAGTTTGAGATTGACACAATTTGAGATGCGAGACAGTTTTTTTGGATATGTTAACTGTCTCGAATTTTTAGCAATAGTTATGGTTTTGTATTTGGATTAGAATCAGGTTTCATTTGGATTTGAGATTGAATTTACAAGATATCTTATCAAAACTATTTGAATGTTTTTTGTTGTATTGTGTTGTTTTAGATGCTCCTGTTTGTAATTTCAAAATCATAAAAATGTTGGAAGTTTATGCCAGTATTATTTTTCTTGAGTGGGTTTGTTTATTCAAGAACTTCAGAGTTGGGAATTTGTATAACTAGATTAGTATTGGTAATTGGAGAAAGTGAGAGAAAGAGTTTGAAGTAGTTTTACTCAAAATAAGAGTAGGAAAGGTAATGATAGAAAAAAAATTTATTTTTCATTGTAATTTACATATATGTTTGTATTTATATTCGAGAAAAAATAAAAAAATAAATTTTAAAATATAATCTTATTATTATGAACTATTTAGTATATTTTGAAAGAAATGTTTAGTGAATCATCTTCTTGGTCACTGTCGTCCTTCACCGCCAATTTTTTTTAATAAAAGTCAGATCCGGATATAAATTTTGGTTGATTTTCTCAATCAAATTTTGTTCACCATTTGTTTGTTTTGACTCATTTGAGGATATGAGTGACCCATTAGTTACAGTCAATATAGGTTGTAGTTGTTGTAATTACAGTCAATATGGGGTATGTTGGATGACCCATTAGTTTTTCTTTATTATAAAAATATTTTTTAAATTTTACATATCAATTAATATTTATTAATACATTAATAGTATTATATTACATACTAAAATATTAATTATAATAAATATTTAATTCAATTTATTAATATTTATAATTCAAATTATAATATTTTAATAATATAGCATAAAAAATTAATATTTTAAATTATATTTTATTTTGATAAAATTTATATATGTATATATATATATATATATTAAAAATAAAATATGATAACAAGTCAATTTATTATTTTGTTTTCGATTTATTAAGTTGGTAGACTAGACCAAATAAAACTGGATGATTGGATGTTGTCCATAAAAAATGAAAAATAGGATAGGGAATGAGTCTTTCTAATCCTATCTTTGATACATTAGGTTGAAGGGTTAAAACGATCTAATGGATTAAAATATTAATATAGTTTGTGAGTTTATATGTATTAAATTTTTATTTGATTGATAACTATAAGGATTCAATTTAATGTAAGTTTAAGAGTATAAAAGTGAATTAGTAAAATAAAATTTAATATTTTAATGATTAAGTTAAATATGTTATAAATAAAAATTTAATTATTCAAATTTTATTCATATAAATTTATTTTTATAATATTTTTATCTAAGCATGTTTTTGGAGTGGATTATAATAATTCTACTTGATCAAAATTTTTAATAAGATAAGTTTCTTTTTGTCAATTTTTAGAATATTTTGCATGTAGATTATACATACTTACATATAGGGATATACTTTTGAATATGAACCTTATCAAGTAAGGATGAATTTTAATTAATCTAGAAATATCGTAATATGTTTAATTTGTTGATTGAATTTTTTTTAGTACGATTTAAATTCTTGTGAATTTAGAAGTTTCTAGATTTATAGCATGAAGGGAATAAAAATAAGGTAAAAGAAGTTAGTTTTCATCTTATTAATACCATAAGAATTGAACTTAATTTGCGATTATAGAGTGTGTTATATTATGATTTTCGTGGAATATGAGTGTGAAATGATTTAGAATAATTATGTTATTAGATATTGTACCTACTCAATTTTAACTATTACGAGAATTGACCAAAATACTTGGTTAATATGAGATATTTGACACTCGGTTGAGATAATAGGCTCATACACAATAAAATAGGGATAAATATTACATGATTCTTAAATAGTTATACTTGATTGAGATAATAGACTCATGCCCAATAAATTAAAGATAAATAACTCATGATTCGGGTAATTATGCCTAGATACTATCATAAATTCTAAAACTTACTATTCATTATCAACTTATACATTTATTGACTTATGTATTAGAGAGCCTTTAGAGGTTACTCTCCCCTCCTCTTCTCAAGTCTTTTCGTTTAAGGGGTGAGACTTTTAGAAAAGAGATAATTGTTTTGGTCTTATTTTTGTTTAAACAATAAGACTTTAAGAGGAGAGAGAATTGTCTTGTCTACAAGATTGTTTCGTTGAAGTGAGAAACTATTAATGAAGTGAGATTTAACTTTATTATGAGTTTGCCCAAGCAAAATATTGTTATTCAAGTTAGGAGATGTCTTTTTCAAATGACAATCTCACTCTAGTAAAATTGTCCTAAAAAGGAATGAAGATTTTAGAAGGAATCTCACTCCAATGAAGGTATTTCGCTTAAGTAATATTTTTTTATGAAAGGTACATATTTTAAGTTAACTTATAATTCCTTAATTTTGCTTTGGATACATAATATATGTATATGTACTCGAATGAAAAGTTTGAGATGGTGTTTTTCGCAAATAGGATGATAAGTAGTATTAAGGGAGGTATCAAATATGAGTTGGAATGATGTGTGTGGACATTAAATTAAAGATTCAATAGGTGATATTATAATTCCATTGCTTAATAAAATCATATAGATGAAAGAATAGGATGAGAGTTGGAAAATCATAAAAAATTACTTTATCTCATAAAAATGTGTTCATCTTATGTACTATTATGTTAAACATTTGAAGAAGTCATAATTGATGATTATGATAATCTCATATGTAATATGTTCTTTGTTTTATAACTCTAATTTATCATGATTTTGTCTTTAAAAGATGTTTTGATAAATTGAGAAAAAAATTATATATAAATTACTCTTGCTTTAATTTTTTAAACAATGTAATTATTTATGAGTATATTAAGACTATAAGTGTTACACCATCCTTAAAATAGGTTAATAATTTACGAGAAAAGAGATTTATTTTACTAATTTTCCTTTTAAAAATACTTTATATATATAAATATAAATATATTCCTAAGGCAGAAAATATCTTTTATTACAAAATTTCGCTCTTTATATAAAATTTTTAATGAAATAAATTAGGCCTATTTAATAATAATGATAATAATAATAATAATAATAATAATAATAAAACATTATAAAAAATTCAAGGGGTAAACTAATTAAAAAATATATATTATATATTAATTTTAGAAGAGAATAAGAATAGGTTGAATATTAATTATAAAAGAAGGTAAGAATTTTAAAATAGAAAAGAATAAGAATTTGTTGACGTTAATATTGTCAAGTAAAAATGGATAAAGTGATAAAAAGCCATAAAAGTGAACGAATCCATAACTTTTAAGCTGTTATCCTGATAAATAAAATAAAACATTTATTTAGTATATAGGTGAGAAATTATATATATATATATATATATATATATATATATATATGTTTTATTTTTCTCATTATTATGATAATATTATTAAATTAATTATCACATTTGATGTATTGTTTGTTTTAGAATTTTAATTTCATTATGTTTTTATTTTTAAAAAAGGTGTCTTGATGGATTAAGAAAAGATGATATATATAAATTACTCTTGACTTCGACTTTTAAATGATATGAAACTCATGAATGTATCACAACATAACCCCAATAAAAGATTAAGAGATATATAATATATGAGTGGAGCAAGACTCTTTTCTCGATCCACGAGTGTGCAATAATATTCAATCTAGGAATAAAAATGTCTTGACTTTATATTGTCTATGATAACATCACTTAGTATCTATTGTAAAACATTATGTACTTTTCTTACATTCTTAATTTATTATGAAAAACTATTCTACAGGATATTTAGATTATTGATTTTCACAACATAACATACATGAATCATAATAAGAAAACTAACCTTATCCATGAGAATATATTCTTTAATCTTCTCGTTCTCCAATCTCCTTTTCCTAATCTATCTCTTTGTCTTTTTTCTCTTTTCACGCTTTCTTGATGGTTTACCGTGAAAAACTTTTATGACCAAAACCCTTATTCCATTTTATTAACCAAGGTCTATTAAGTTGGTTACCAGTAAATTAATATTTTATTTTATCTTTATTTTATTCTAACTTCACATAATAACCAATAGGTCCTCATATTTTATTAAATCACATTTGGGTCCATTATTATATTTCACATGAGTCACATAATGGAATGAATTAATTAAATTAATTCTAACATTCTCCCACTTGACTCATGTGATGTCATACTGATTCTGTGATTTAATACTTTAAGTCATAATGCGCATTAAAGGACATTACATAAATTGGTTCTATCATTATTCATAATTAAAGATATAGCTATAACAAGAGTCATGGCGGTTACATGTCATTCAATCGACAAGCTCCCTTCCATGTACCACTATATTATCTCTTTCTCCTTAATATGACTTTATAATGAGAAGTCCATAATGGGTTCAAATATAATATCATTTTAATAATAATAACATAATTTGTTTTCTTCATCATAATTTGCATGCATATGAATAAAGAAGAAAACACAAATTTCGAAACTTATACATTAAAGATCTCGAGTGTCACATAAACATTAATAATAACATTAACATTCAACATTCACTACTAGTAAACATAATGCCCATATTTACTATATGGCCGACCAAACAACTTGGGCGATAATCCCTTTGTTAAAGGATCAGTAATCATAAGATCAGTGCTAATATGTTCTATTGACACTCTCGTTTACGAACTTCTTCTTTAACGGCAAAGTATTTCAATTCCATATGCTTAGCACCTTTGGAATACTTGTCGTTCTTAGAAAAGAAGACTGCTGCGGAATTGTCACAATAAATTTTCAGCGAC